AAAATGGAAGAGCAGACGGCCTTCGGGCTGAGAAAAACCGACAGCATTCATATAAACACTAAAGGTATCTGCCATGTATATCTATTTTTATGTAATTCTCAGATGATTACAGTTCAAATTCATGCCTTCTGAGACAGTTCAGCATTACTGCTGCTGTCATTCCCCTTGGCCCGGTGTCCATCACTCCTTGTGGGAATAGCATTAAGTTTCTTTGGTGGTGACGCTTCCTGTATGCTCTGGAAAATAGCCTGTGGCTGTGTGGGGCTAGTGAGAGAACTCAATATAGTGCAGTGTTTCCAAAAACCAGTCCTCAGGGTACACTGGACGGATCCACATTTTTGTGTTATCCCAGTTCCCAGCACACCTGTAAGATATTTAGAGCTCCTGATGGCTTGGGTCAGGTGTTCTGTGAACTGGGATAAAACAAAAAAAGTGGATATTTGCAGTGTGCCCAAAGGACTGGTTTGGGAAACCTGGTTGTCTAGTGAAATGGATGTGGTTGGTATTTAGGGTGTGGCCTATGAGGTGGGTGTGGCCAATGCTTGGGGAGCCTGTTAGTGTGGCCAATGCTTGGGGAGCCTGTTAGTGTGATGGGTGTGGCTAGGCTTGGGATTGGATTGCTTTGGTGGGTGTGGCTACTGCTAAGGAGGAGCTAGTGAGATGAGTTTGATCAATGCTACGACTGGGACAATTGAGATGGGCTTGGGAATGGGGTTAAGGTTAGTGAGAAGGACTGGCTTGTGCTTGGGGTGGGGCTAATGAGAGGGTCTGGAGTACTTGTAGGGATGGGAATAGTTATACCGATGAAGTTAGTGACAGGGGTGTGGTCAGCGGCTGAGGTGGTCCTAAGGAGAGGTGCGTGAATTATGGGTAATGCTGGTTCTAGGGAGAGGAACTGCAGTGTCACCTTGTAACTTGTTGATGGCTGCTGCTCCTCTAATAGGATCCCACTTTTCTCTTGTGAGGAGCTTTGGCTTTGCAGGTAGCTGTCCTTGTGTAGAGCAACATTTTTCAACCAGTGTGTGTGTCTGTCCTATCTATCTGTCTGTCACATTTATAATAAAGTTATGTATTAATAATTAAATTATAAATTTACTTTAGGTGGCATAGCCAAAGAAAAAGCCTTATGTTTTTATTCATTTAATTGTCCAATAGACTTTAAGCACACTTGTCACATAATCAAATGCTTCTGAGAATAAAACTGCCCCACAACTGACACCTGTTTGTGTACATATGTTCGACGCTTTGAAAACTGCCCTGTAGTAAAAAGACAAAATCATTGAAAAAATATTAAAAAGGAAATTTTAAGAAAAACATGCTTAATCCTGAACCTGAAGTTTCACATTGAAGGTAAGAGCAAGTTAGTAGTTTCTGTTAATCCATGATGTACACTGGACGTCATGGCAGAAAAGAGGTTGGGAATCACCGGTCTAGAGAGGGCCAGTTTTCTGTTTCTTTTATGAGAAAGAAGGTCAGAGTTTCCCAAAAGAAGTGATATTGGTTTGCTGCAGAAAGGCTGCAGGAAGCTTGACAGCTGTTACTGCTGGAAACCTGCGGTTCCTTCGCTATCAGAGGAGCAAAAGGAGCTCCAGAGTCTAAGAGGCATTTTGCATCTGCATCATTGGAGGGAAGCCTGACTCATTCAGAAGAAAGTCTGACATGCTATGGAAGAGGTAGGGGACTTTTGGCCTGAAGGGGGTGCTGTTGAGGGTGTCCTTCATGCGTAGCTCCTGATTAGAGTACATATTGCCCATCCTCCTTTACTGCAATTTGCTGAGAAAGCAAACATCATTAGTATTCAAACATACCTCCATATTCTTATAAACATCCGGTTAGGCTTCTAGTTATTACTGGTAAATAAACTATTAATTTATGATGACATTCTTAATAATTGTGCAGTTCAGTCTCTGGTTATATAATGCGCGTGCTGCTAGCTTTCCCGGAAGCATGTGATAGTGTTTTGTGGCAATCGGTATCCAATTGTAGTTTTTTTAAGTGTACCTTTGAATCCCTTAATGAGATTTTGCCAGCTTTTCTGACAATGCGATATGAGACGTGTACAGCGGACAGAACCAGCCTATCAACAGTTTCTTGACTCCGCTCTCCATCTCCGTGTGGAGCATCTCCCGGTCCTGTTCGCTGATTAGATTTGGGAATCCGTGGCGCTTTTAGCGCGTTGACTTCCTGGCTATTGATCGCGTCTAGACTTGCAGGAATATCATCTGAACTTTGGGTACAACAAATGTGTCTTTGCTAAGGCAATACTTCTGAAAAGAATACCTCTAATGCATCGGTAATAACCCCATAAGGAGTCTGCATCTCCTGATCCTTTCCATACAGAGTCGCACGCACTCCTATCATCACAAGTTCGGAAATAAAGGAAAATTCCGGAGCGCTTACGGACTGATGTCTTTCCGTGGCCAAGTACAGTCAGGGATGCCAGCTTTGGTCAGCTGACTGGCGAGAGATTTTCAGTTCGAGAAAAGTCTGCACACACGTGCACACGTATTTACATGTATTCCTATGTAACAGTTGTTATCTTGTAAATAGTCTGTCGGGTTTGCAAACTGCCCCAGCGCTTTTGATGTAGCTAATTTTAGGTTTATATTGGAATGATATATTTTTGCCGTAGGATTTCTTGCGTGAGCGTGAGGATCAGAGCGCGTGTCACGCCAGATGCGCGAGAGCTGGCAGCCCTGGTAGAATTCATTGGTAATTCGTTGTTTTTTTTACAAGTGTATTGTCTTCGCCAGTTTACCTTGATGGGTTAATAGCGGTTGTATTGTATAAAAGTATTTTTCGGTAAATCCGAAAATTATGACACAGTTCCTGTTAGTCGAACGTCTTTGAGGGTTGGAGGGGCCTGTTTCCCTGAATGCTGTTAGGGGCCCAAATGAGGCCGTAGCCCATTACTGCTTATATTTTTCTAGTGGGCGGCTTATTGTTGTTATCATTATTGTTATTCAAATCGAAATATCTTGGCTGCTGTTTTAATTAACTGAAACGTTATTTCCTAAGTTCGATTGACAAGCAAATATATTTGAATTATCGATACTATCGTCTGATAGCTGACGGGTAACTATTGCAAATACATTATACTTTAGTAATTACATTAATAATTATACCGTACTCGAATTGTGCTCAGCCTGGGTGACATTAACTTGGTAGATGTGAGACAGTTGTTAGGTAACTTGGACTTGAAGTGTCCGAGTGCTCTGTCTTGCATATAAATGTGAATTTCAGATAAATGGGGGCATAAAATACCAAAAGCAATAACGGCGAGATTAATAAAACAGAATAAAAACGCCCAAATGAAATTTATTGCGCGAACGCGTATCGGCCCCGGGCGCAGGCGGAACTGTCCGTGGTGCTGAAGGCTCCCGGTCGCCTCTGAAAGACGGGGGTCTGCAGGCGCGCTGTCTGCCCCTCATTTACTCACGGACATTGCCTTTGTCACGGCAAACTGTAGCAATGATTCCTGCTAAACTCTTGGTACGGTACAACATGCATCCGGGACGATCTGACCTGTCTTCATTCCCGCAAAGCCCTACACAAGTCAGCAGGGAGACGTGCATGCAGGTCGGGGCGCCCTTAAGTACGGCGTTGGCACACAGTGAATCGCTTGTGTTTGTAAAAAAATGGTCGTATCAGTGGGTCATTTCTGTGTTAGTGATGTGTGTGGTTGGATCCGCATGCATGCGGTGTGTTTTTTTAGGACAACCAAATGGTGGACCAACCTAACCCTTGCTCTTAATCTAATGGCATCTATGTGTGCGGGAACAGGCGCGCGATCCAGTTTAAGGGCGGTCAGATGGGAACGCGGCAGGTACAGGGTGTGAAGAGAAGGAGCAGGGAGGGAGTGATTGAGAGGGAGGAAGAGAGGGAGGGAGGGGGAGGGAGGGAGGATGCTGCCGCTGCTGCTGGCGGAAAATGGCCGCTACAACCTCAAGTCCGTCCTGGTGCACCGGGAGGACATAAGGGTGGAGAGAGAAGAGGGAAGAATATGAGGGTCTAGTAGAGAGAAGGACCGAGGGAAAGAAGAGCGAGCGCGTGAGGCTGTGCCGGGGAGAAGGGGGATAAAAGACACGAGACCCGCGGGGGGGCAGCAGGCTGGAGGCGGCGGGCGACACCAAGCCATGGAGGGCGAGTAAGTTCTTGCTTTTCCCATATTTTAAGGAAACATGGCGTATAAAATCACACCGCAAGATGAAAACTGCTGCCTTTTTCCCATTGCTGCCACACGTTATACTGATAAACACGCCGGCGTAGGGCGCATGTAGGAACAAACGTTATTGCGCGGTGTTGTACCGATATTTCAAACCCCGTACTCCATATAGTCACAACTGTATGCGATTAAATATTTAAAGATTATTCTTCTGAATAGGAGCTACAGTTTAAGCAAGGCTGCACATTAAACCCGTCATTGGCGTGTCAGCCAAGCAGAGAACTGCTTTGGGTTATTCTCCATTAAATACGCAGGAGGAGACAAGAGATACAGTCACCGAGTGCCGTGCAGTGGTAATTTAGTCCATTATTAAAACAGTTAACATGTGAAGAATAATGGAGAAATATGTGAAATATGGAGACTTTTCGGAAAGCAGCGCAATAAGCACGACACGCAGGGACGCGGGGCTGAGAGCTGGCCACGCCGATGTTTTCTCTCAGGGCGTCTTGGCTTTCATTATGATTTTTAAAGGCAAACTTTATGAATGAAATGTGATATTTCTCTCCCTCTCAACCCCCTCCTCTCTTTCCCCTCTCTCATGTCGCCCCCTCCCCCAACCCCCTTTCCTCCAACCATCCTCGCCCCCAGTCTCTCTGGTTCTATCTACATCTCTTTTTTTTCCGACAGGAATACATTTTATATTGACCCATTCTGATTTTTATTGTGTTTCATTCATAAAATGTCCACTGCTGGGGTTTGTGTGCGGAGCGAGCGATGGGGCACAGAGATTGAGCCTTTCGTGAATAATTATCACAATTCCGCTAATTGTGCTTAATCTAACTTATGTTATGATGCGCTTTCTCGCCGTTCGATGGTCTCCGGATCTGATGCGGCAGATCGGGCCTGGTATGGGCGCGTTCATTGATACACTCATCCTCTCCTTCCTCTGTTTCGCCTCTTCGCTCTCCTCCATCTCGCACTATACTGCACATATTTCGGCTTTACGTGACACATCGCGATGCCTGTTTATTTTCCCGGAGTGGCAAATCTGTTTTGTTTTCTTTCTCCTTCCTCCACCTGTCATTCTTTTGTGCTTTCTAATCGCACGATGTAGCCACTGATCAAACGTTATTATTTGTGTTATAATCGTGAAGCTGAAAGAGATGTGGTCACATGACCGTCCATTAAAAAAAAACCGCGCCGCTTGCAGCCATTGATATCAACCTGCCTCACTGGCAACACGCATCGCAAACACTATAATCATTATAATCGATCATTATAACCAGACAAGATGAACTGGATTGTGCAACAATGTTCAGGGAGTTCAGTGTCGTCGGTAAAATTGGTGCGATGTATTTTTTGTACATTAGGGGATAATTAATTTCATTACGTTAATAGAAGGTTATGAGATCTTATAATTTTAAGGTGACAGAAGTATGTGAAAACGAATCTGTAGGAAGTTCCCAGCAGTTTTTTGATGGATCTGGTTTCCGTTACTGGGCTGCCTCTAAATTTGTAACTAAACTGCAAATATAGTTTGTGTTAGCCGCTTCTTCTTGTCATTCTGAGTTCTGAGTTTGTGTAAGTCACAATCTGGTTAAATAACTTTTATTTTAGTGTGGGGGGATTACTGGGGGAAACAGGGTTTGTTGTGTTTAAAAATATACAGCTGCAGTTTTATCTGAATGGTTTTCTTCAGCCCGTCTACTCCTACTGTGTGATTTCTTCTTCTGATGAATTTGCCTCCACACTTACACTCTCACTCCCCTAACAGTGTGCGTGTTCGTGCAGTGGTGATGACGCGTGACGACTCAAGCGGCGGGTGGGTTCCCCTGGGGGGCGGCGGCCTCAGCCATGTGATCATCTGCAAGGGGCGGAGCCCGGGCAACAGGGGGCGGAGAGACTACGTCATCCGCGGGGAGCGGCTGCGTGATCGAGCAGTGAGTGTGTGCGTGTGTGTTACGCCCTGTTGGTTCGTCTGATCGGCGCCCCCTAGGCTTCTCTGTGGCCTGTGTGCTGACCCTCCCTTGTGCCCACAGCCGGTGCTGGAGTGTGCGGTACAGAAGGGCCTGGTCTATAACAAGGTGAACCCAATCTTTCACCACTGGCGTGTAGAGGACCGCAAGTTTGGTCTGACCTTCCAGAGCCCGGCCGATGCCATCACTTTTGAGCGGGGACTCCAGAGTGCCATCGAAAGGCTGGACAGAGGTATTACACTGAAGGCAAGACATCAGGGAGAGTTGCGTTGGGCCCAAGCATCCGGCCACTTCCCAGTCCCGACAGAACGGGTTCTAAACACTGACTGTAATTATAAATACTCACAATGAAGCTGAAGTGGTGAGTGCTGTGTTTATTAATGTTCAGATGACGAGATTACAGCAGCTCTAAACAGTTGACAGCTTAATAAATAAATATCCCAAAGACCCCCTTTTGGGTTCATAATAATACTGGGGGGGGGGGGTTATGCAGAAGAATTAGAGTCCTTTGGAATTTCTTGTTCTTTTTAATTTTGGAGGTGTTTATTTTTAAACACCAGTGCTGCTCTGTGATCAGAAACGTCATTTTCTTATTTTGTCCTGTCTTTCAGAGTCTGAGTCTCCCTCGTCCTCCACACCAGAAGAGGGCGACACTGAGGATGATGGCCAAGCCGTAAGTGTCACTGTCTCTTAGCAGAGCTGAAAATGGTCCACCCAGGGTGTATTAGTCAGCCCCCTCCCCCATCACCGGTACATCCAGCGTGTGTTGAATCTGTTTGTGTCAGTCTCACACAGACAGTGAGTCGTCCTCCAACAGCAGGAAAGAAATGCTACCCAAGTCCATCACCATAGTGACCAGTGAGTCGTCGGCTGGCTTTGTGCGGTCCGCTGCTGAGGAGTTGGGCTATGAGTCCGGGCCCACAGCACCCTCCCAAAGCCCCAGTCAGGTAAGGGCCTTATCCTTATCTCTTTGTCTCTGCGTGATGAGCTGGAAGACCTGCTTTGTGACATCATCAGTCTGCGTCTGGCTGCTGCGAGGTCGGCTTAACGTCTCTGGGTGATGAGCTGAAAGACCAGCTATTTGACATCATCAGTCTGCATCTGGCTGCTATGAGGTCGGCTTAAAGGCTCCCTTGCTGAAAGAGTGGCTTTGGTGACTTTAAGAGAGTGAAATCTAGTCCCTGTCCTGCTATTATAGTTAGGGTGTAAGCAGCATGTATGCACAAATAGCTGGTGTAGCAATGAAGTGAGAAATGACCGTAATCAAAGAGCAAAGTCCTTGGGGAGGCAAAACTCAGGTGATGAGGGTGTGCCCCCCCCCCCCCATGTGTGGGGGCTCTTTGGAGACACAGCCATGTAAGAAAAACTGAATGTATTTTACCAAAAGTTTTGGTGCTTTTTGTCAATTAATTTTATTAAAGCTGCTATTTTTTTTCGATCATTGTTTTCACATCGTCTGCACATTCGTGAAGATTTCAGCAGCCGTGGGGCCTGAGAGCATAGATTGAAATGTATCGTTGTCATTGTGTTACACACAACGCAATTACACTGACGACTTCGAAAAGCCAATGCAATTACAAACATGAAGCAAACAATATATGAGGTAAACAATATACAGAAGAATTTAACTATACATAAAAGTAAACATTATACCAAGGTAGTCAAACTATTAAAGAAATAAATTATAGAGACAGACTATGTAAACAATGACATTAAGTGCAGGACTGACGGGTGACACTTCATCATAGGCTATTACACAGATTTGCTTATTGCCCAATGTTAGTCTTTTCTATGCATTTGCAGTGGCCCAGATTTGTACTTATTTTTACTGCTCAATGAAAACCGTGTGCGTCCGCTTTTTGACGATTGTGACTTTTTACTGTTGATGGAATACACCCACTCTCCTCTGTCTACTGATAGCGTTTGACATCTAATTGACCAATGAAAAGATGTTTTATGAAGTCATCTATTTAACTAGCATTTATGTTTGTACTGGTTAACATTTGTAGTCATGATGGTTGTTTGTATTACTTTATATCGTTATACATTATTGTTAATATAATGCGAGATTAGCTTGTATCTTGTTGACACTAACATGGTGTGGCACAGTGGTGCAGAGGTTAGAATTTGAATTTAGAATTTGGTGAACAGTGGTCATTTGCACACAATAACGAAATATGTCCTCTGCATTTAACCCATATGTTACATCATGACATAGCAGGGGGCAGCTAATTCAGCGCCCGGGGAGCAGTACTTGGGGGTGGTACCTTGCTCAGGGTACCTCGCTGGTTGGGGATTCGATCCAACAATCTTTCAATTACAAGTGCGCTTCCCTAACCATTAAGACACCACTGAGTCCCCGCCATGGCTCCATGCATGTGGAGTTTGCATGCCGTCCCCGTGGGGTTTCCTCTGGGTTCTGCAGTTTCCCTCCACAGCCCAGAAATATGCTGAAGTTACTTGGCCTTTCCAAAATGCCTGTGTGTGTGACTGTGTCCTGCCATGTGTTGGCACCCTATCCTGGGTTGTTCCCTGCTTTGTGTCCGTAGCCTATTTACAGAAAATGGATAGATGACACTAACATGATTGGCTTACTAACAACAGTCCATTTAAAACATTAAACCTATCTCTGAAGGCTGTGTAACGATTGGTTTCTATTTGTGGTGCTAAGGCTGTCTCATTACATTTGCTTTAGGTTTATTTTGAAAAGTAGTTTCTGAGAAAATGCTTTTCTCACGCTCCTGAAATAATGGATTTTTTGAGATGCCTGTTTTTCATTGGACAGCGACATTACGTGAGACGTATCCATTTTTGGGACTTAGAGTTCGGTTGTGAGATGGTTCTTGGGAAAAAGAAACTCGCTGAACCTGCCTGTGTGGGTGAGAATAGTTATGTGGCGCCTTTTGGATGGTAGGAGGACAAACAGTTGGTTGCTGGGGTGGGACTGGGTCTATAGTGATGTTGACTTAGGTGGCGCACTTTGTAAGTCCTCATTGGCTGGGAGTTGTGTTCCTGTGATGCACTGGGCTGTCTCGGTGACTCGCTGTGGAGCTCTGTGGTCAGACTTGGTGCAGCCAGCGCATGAAGCTCATCATATGATATGTCAGAAGGTTCTTTATAGCACACCTGCAGTTTCTGGGGTATGTTTGCTCTCCTGTGCAGCTTGAGGGTGGCCAGGCTGTATCTCGTTTCTGCAGTTGACAGTGATGTTCCGCAAAAGTCATAGAAGTTCATTTAAGAAGCAGCGTACTTTGATTTCTGAGCAACTCCCTAAATCGTCATTTTTTTCTTAAACAGATTCACACTCGGCCTGTACAGCATCAGCCCCCCCTGGGAACGGCTGTCTTGAACCCCCCGGCACCCCCTCCTCCGCCCCCGGCCCCTCCCACCCCACCTGTGCCTCATCCGGTCCCCACCTCGCTCTCCCCGCTGTCCCCCACCTTCTCGCTCCTGGAGGAGGGCGATCTGCAAGGCCTAGACCCCTGCAAGGACCTGTGGGGCTCGCGCGGCTACGAAGACTATCGGCGAGCCGGCGCCACCCGTCCCGGGGGCGGGGGCTTCGGGGGGGGCCTGGCTGGAGGCATCGTGCAGGACAAGTCGGAGCTGTGCGTGGTGCGTTTCGACAAGGAGTTGGCCGGGATGGGCATGCCTGGGTGCGAAGTGACCATCAACCTGGACAGTAAGGGCGGCCACCGGCACTCCTCCTCCTCCCCCACCTGCGGCTCCACGCCCACAGCGTCCAACGCCCCCCCTGGGGCTGGCTCCCCCCAAGACACGGGCAAGGGCTCACCGTCCCCCTGCTGCATCCACACCTCCTTGGCCACGCCCCGCTCACGGACTCGGAAGAGAGGGGGCGGCGGTGGGGGTGGCGAGTGCGGGCTGGGCTTGTCAGGCTCCGCCTCCCTGGGAGGGGCCGTGTCCCCTGAGGACGAGAGCCCCTGCCCGGCGGCATCATCGTCCTGCTCGTCGCGCTGTGTGTACTGCCGCTCCGTGTTCAGCGCCTCGGAGAACGGGCGCGGCCGCTGCCGGGATGCGCCGGATCCAGTGCTACGCTGCCTGCGCCAGTGGACCTGCGTGTGGTGTGCCGAGAGCCTGCTGTACCACTGCACGTCGGACTCGGAGGGCGAGTTCTGGGAGCCCTGCTCATGCGAGGACTCGCTGGGCGGCCGGCCCCACCCGCTGTGCTGTGCCCGCTGGGCGGCGCTGTTGGCGCTGTCGCTCTGCGTGCCCTGCATGTGCTGCTACCTGCCACTGCGCGCCTGCCTGCGCTGCGGGGAGCGCTGCGGCTGCTGCGGGGGCCGCCACAAGGCCGTGCGGTAATGCTGGGCTCCCCGGGGCCCCCCCCCAAGAGCCCGGCCTGCCCATTACCCAAGGGCCCCGGGAGGGCGGGGGCTGGGGGCACAAGGACGTGTAAAACTATTTAAGAGGTTTTTAATTTAAAAGAAAAAAAATAATCAAAAGGATGTTTATAAATATGATTGTTAATCATTATTATTGATATTTTTATTCTATTTTATTATTTTGACTGTTTGGCCTTTGAGGCCACAGCGGGTGGATTTTGACAGATTCATTTAGCGGTTAGCATTTATTTTTGTATTCATCCAAAAGACACTCTCCCGTCTTACCTCTAACTTACTCTGTTGTACCTCAAGTCCTGGGGGGTGGGGGGGGGTTACCGTCTGGCAGACTGGATACTCAGTGTGGCACAATGCGGGGAGAGTGCAGGGGGAGAATTTTTTGGCAACGGACCATAATGGTTTTGGCTAGAGAGCAAAGGAATGTCTGTAGATGGCGTTGGTGCAGAGGTCTGATGTGGCTAGAGGGGGGTACTGCTTCTTAGAGAAGTGGGGGGGGGGGTGACACTCATGGAAGGTGCCTGACTATGGGGGGTGTGGTGTAACAAGGAGGTACCCACCTGGTCCTGTCAACTCAGCTCCTGCATATCTTAAAACGATCCTCAACACTAGCTGTCACCAGAAAGGGGGTTACTAGCTGGAAAGAATGGAGACATAACTGACCAGAATCTTTGGGACCAGGGTTTGATTGGCTAATAATGTCACTTTTAAAATGTCCCGTACCCTCCCCACCACCATTGGGAACGCGCTCTGACCTGCAGACGGAGTGTAGGGGCAGGAAACCTGGAACAACAGCAGCGTGCGGAGTAGGGAGGGAAACCATCACAGCGGGGCGCGGAGGGCGAGGCGGGCACCACCCTAACGCCCGCGTCCATCACAGCGGGACGCGGAGGGCGAGGCGGGCACCACCCTAACGCCCGCGTCCATCACAGCGCGT